TACTTCTTTTACTACATTTTCGGTTTCTTTTTCATCAAAATCTGTGAAAAAATATAGTTTAGATTTCTAATATTTATTTATAAAAAATATTACCATTAAATTTAATGCATTTGACGGCAAATAACTGTCCATCAGATTTATATTGCACTCGCAATACGGTCCCAAAACTACCCGATCCTATAACCGATATCTCATCAAATGTTTTATCATAATATTCATTGAAACTACTTTTATAATCAATTTCAATGCTAAATGGTTTGAATGAATTTAAGTGAATATTCTCTAAATTTCCTTCAATTCCTTCATATTTATCTTTAAATAATTCCGCGAAAAACTTGTAATCATTTTGTTGAATGAGATTTAGTGTGGAATCAAATGTGGGATCAGTTTTGAGACAATTCTTATTAATAGACCACTCATTATATTTGGCTAAGACTTGTGAGCACTCGGGTCTGTCTGTCCAATGAGGGCCGGGTATGTGCGGGTGATTCCAGTTATAGTATGACATTGAATGCAGTATTTGTGTTAATTTAAGCCAACATTCGTTGATAACTTCATTGTCTGAATACTTTTCTAAACTACAAAATATATTCAAATAAATAAAAAAATTATTAAATAATTTAAATATTAATTCACAATATCTTACGATTTGTCCTCCAATTTAATCCCAAAAATATTTTCTGCAATTTTAGCCAAACTGTAGACATCTATCTTATGGTTATAGTCCACTCCACGACCCACTTCTGGCGCCTGATATTTCATGTCTCCCCTATCTGACGAGTGCTGGTGAACAGTAGCCAAACCAAAGTCACATACTTTGAAAAACCTGCCGTTCCTTACAGTCTTCGCTAGTAATATATTGTCGGGTTTGAGATCTCTATGAATGACCGGTGTATCCAATTCATGTAAATATTGAACGCATTCTAAGATCTCTTTGAATATATGACACGAAATATAAAACTCGATTGAATAATAGACCACTCATTATATTTGGCTAAGACTTGTGAGCACTCGGGTCTGTCTGTCCAGTGAGGGCCGGGTATGTGCGGGTGATTCCAGTTATAGTATGACATTGTATGCAATACTTGTGTTAATTTAATCACACAATTGTTTATAACTTCATTGTCTGAATACTTTTCTAAACTACAGAATATATTCAAATAAATAAAAAAATTATTAAATAATTTAAATAGTAATTCACATTATCTTACTGTTTGTCCTCCAAATGAATCCCAAAAATATCTTTTTCTGCAATTATAGCCAAACTGTAGATATCTATCTTATGGGTATAGTCTACTCCCTGACCCACTTCTGGTGCCTGATATCTCAGGTCTCCCTTATCTGACGAGTGCTGGTGAACAGTAGCCAAACCAAAGTCACATACTTTGAAAAACCTGCCGTTCCTTACAGTCTTCGCCACTAATATATTGTCAGGTTTGAGGTCTCTATGAATGACCGGAGGATTCAATTCATGTAAATATTGAACGCATTCTAAGATCTCTTTGAATATATGACACGAAATGTAAAACTNGTTCTTCCGGTTGTCGACCAAATACTTGTGGTTTGTGTTGAAGAATATTCTTCAGACTATCGGAACACAACTCCATTTCAATGTAATACACATTATTTTCATACCATTGATTGATATATTGGACACAATATTCTGACCTAACTTTTACCAATTTTTGCATTTCTTGCATACATTCCCGTAAATGGTCTTCACCTGTACGTGTATTAATTGTGATATTTTAAAATAATTTCAAATTTTACATAACATTTCGACAAATACAATATAATACAAATTAATTATTTATACAAAATATCTAAATTCCATTAAATTACCTTGGTATTTTATTTTCTTAACCGCATATTCTCGCCCATCATATTTCAATTTAGCAACAAATACTTCCCCAAAAGCTCCCGAACCTAATCGATACAACTCTTCGAAAAAACGGTTGTATTGATTCACTTCGGAAACAACTATAAAAAAAATTAAATTCATTCTTTCATTCATTCATTCATTCATTTTTCTTAAAAAGTCATCCAAAAGTAGTACTCAAAGGGGACGGGGATGTGTTATAGGCTTACTAAAGAGTAATTAAATTATAGGTATATTATTTATTTTTGCATAAATATAATTAAAATAATTTGTTTAGAAATTTGCTTAATTGCTGACAATTTCTTTAGATTTAAATTCTAACTGCAA